CCCCCCTCCCCCCCCCTCTCTCTTGCTTCCTGCGCCTCACACACACAAGCGCCCTCCTCCTCACCCCACCCCGAGACTTTCCCCGATCTGGTGGCCCCCCTCCGCTATTCCACCACCATCCCCACTCACTCACACACTCACTCACTCACCCTTTGCTCTTTCCCACGATCAGCTTTGGCCGCTTCAGTAGCTCACGCTCCCTGGCCTCCCTCGCCCGTTTGCTCGAAGCGCGGACCTTCTCCGCTCTCAGCAGCTCCAAGTACTGAAAAGGACCCCAACAGCACGACCAGAAAAACAACAAAGACCTAGTGAGCATGCACAAGGGAAAAAAATAAAAAAATGATACGTAGAGATAGGTCTTTCTAGGCAGCTAAACGTGCTGGGCCCGCTACATACACAAGCAACGCCGCGCGATACGGCAGACATTTTATGTCGACGACGGCAACGATGGCAACGGATACAGCGCGCACAAGCAAGGAAAAAACAGACGCCGCAAGCGCAGTCGCGCAGCCCGAACAGACCAGACAAAGAATAAAACACGGGTCTTATCTTACCATGTCTTCGGAACAATGGCGGGCGATATTCGTCGCACCGACCGGATGACTCAAGAGCTGAGGCATTCCTTCCTTCATGACAAGCGGTAGACAGCAAGAGCGGAAGAACAAACCCAGGCCAAGAACTCCCAGCACAGCAGTATTAGTAGCACAGAAAAAAAAAAAAGGAAAAAAAGCAAGCCTACAAAAGTTTCCCCACAGTACTATCACAGTAGTGCCGCAGAAAAACAAAAACAAGGGCAAATCCCACAGTCAGCGGGACCCTGCACCGGGCCTCAGACCTGACCTGATAGAGGGACTCCCACGTGCGGCACTGGAACCCCTCCTCCACCGCCCGCCGCTTCTCATCCGCCAGGCTTCGCTGCACAGCCTCCCCGCCGCCGCCGCTGCTGCTACCGGCAGTCGACCCACCCACCCCCGGCGGCGTGTTCACCGTTGTTGCTGCTACTCCGGCCGCCTCCTTCCACCGCCGGACGAGTTCCGCCGCCGTCCTGGCTACCTCCGGGTTGGCAGCCTTTCGGAACTGGGACACGGTCTTGCCGATAAGGGTCACCTTCAACACCCCCACGGAGACGGGGGTTTCCTCCAGCGCCTTCACGGGGGCGGGGGGGGGGGGG